AGAACTTCTTGCACACTTGACATCCCGAAACATCAAAAAGAGCTGCAGACCAGGACTGATGCGTCTGGGCAAGGATCATATAAAATTTGCTCCACTAGACCTGAATTTAACCCAAAGCATTCTCTCTTCAAGGAGAATGTTTCCATCCCCTCCAAAAAAAGTTTGTCTTTGCACTAAGACTTGAATTAAACACTACCTTGTCCCATTTACTTGGCACAACCAAAATAAGAAACGTGGAAAGCTGTAGAAAAGAGGAAGCTAAAACTTTTCAGACTTATACTCTGCACAAATCCCAGTTTAAGAGCGGTATTTCTTCTACAGTTTGTTTTTTTCACCTGTCCTTGAACTATTGACTTTAGCAGATGAAGAACAGCATGTCTGGCTTCAACTGGGCGTTCTGGCTGCAGCATATCAGCTACTACTTTCCATATTGCTTCCACTGCATGCTGGAAACAAACATAAGAGATAGACAGTAGTAGGAAAGCTAAGCTTCTTCTGGAATTTTTACCCAGTCAGTTATTAATTATGGCAAGTTCACAAACAAGATCTCCAGGGATTTTATGTCTAGAGTTCTCTTTTCTGAGGGATACTCTCACCTGACCTGTCATAGGCTCAGATGAACCATATCTGACATACTAAATCCTGGCCTGTGCCACAATAACCCCTATAACTGAAGGTCTTCATTCACACACTTAATCCAGTGCGAACACAATCGCATTAAAACTTGGGACAGAAGTATTTGTGTAGAAACCCTCATTCAAGCACAAGGTGAAGTTAAAACTCGTTTAAAGTTCCTTATTCACAGGTCAGAAGGAACTAGTGAACATCTTCTCTATAGGGGTAAAATCATCTCCTGTGAACTGTCCAGAACAGGTCGGAATATTCACAGTATTCTCCTCCTATTTAGCTCAAGAAGCCTGCCAGCTATGTTCTCTCTGCTCTACAGTTGATATATTGGATGAGGCCAATTTCTTGGGCACGTGGGCCATCCTTTTACAGGTTTGGACTGCACAGAACGTAGCTTCCTGGATCAGTTTTTAAGAGGTAGTCTGAACAGGAACAGGTTGCCCAGAGAGGCTGTGGAGTCCCCTTCGCTGGAGAGATTCAAAACCCGCCTGGACGCGATCCTGGGCAACATGCTCTAGAGGACCCTGCTTGAGTAGGGGGGCTGGACTAGATGATCTCCAGAGGTCCCTTCCAACCTCAACCCTTTTGTGAAATTCTGTAAACTATATAAGCCTCTTACAACAGGCTAAGAGCTGTTACTTAAAACTATTTTAATCCTCCAAATATTCACTGAACACTTTAAAACTTACCTCTTCGATTTTTTTGGTTTTTGCCACTTCACAGATTTGGCCGATTGCTCGTATCCTATTACTTAATCCACATTCTATGCTCAGTTCCTGGAAAGAAATGTAGAAATAAACTAACACTTTATCTTATTAGAAACACTTTTACCCATTTCTCAAAGGGGATCATGAGCCACTAAAAAATTAACTGCATGTTTGCCCAAAATGATCTAACTATTAGTCATCACTGGAACTGTTCAGGAATTTCTCAAAAAAACTTTTTTCCACCAGCGAATGATGACTTGTCAAAGCCAGAACTTCCACAGAACTGGAGTGAAGCAGCTTTTCACATCCAGGACAGAAATTCTCTTCAGGGAACATCTCATTTTCTTCAGAAAAACTATTAACTCATTGGCTGTGGCACTCGCCCAGCACATGTGAGACAGACAGACAAAGGAGGGACTTAATTCCAGCTCTCTAGCTTTCCAGGATAAGTATGGGGCTCCTCCAGCACAGACAGGAAGGGATTCTTGTCTCTTTCTCCCTGTCATGTTTTTTCTTCCCTATGTTTACAGACTTGCTGGACCAATTACTGGAATAAATTTTTTTCATAAAACCATGACTTTCATTTCATAAAATGGAAATCCTATTTCCAGCTTGCCCCAACTGCCACCACAAAGACTTCATTCAACAAGTTCAGACTATAAAAACAGAGCAAAAGAACACATGCTTTGAGGAAATACCCTGTACCCCCACGGAACAGAGGTCAATGCCCTCCCACCAAGTACCTGAAAACTATTCAAACACTGAATAACTAGAATGCAGCATGCTCCCTTCAAAGCACATAAGTGGCATCCACTGTACTAGAGAACGGATTGAGCAGTAAGGCATATTAATAGCAAGTTCAGAGATGGAATGAATGTAAAACAGAAAAGAGAACGAGCAAGTCCTCCTTCTAGTCATGGCAGTCCCTCCCTCCCTACCTTTGCAGGTATACCAAACACCACCCCCAGCTTTATTACAATCGGTTCTCATACCTTGAGAATTTCTGCAGTGATGATAAACTCCGTCTGCTTTCCTTCTGATGACTTTGAACTTCCCCGGGATGTTCCCAGCCCCAAGAGATTCCTAAACTTCTCCTTCAGTCCCGAATCCTTGCTTTGCGGCTTTGCCATTGCTGACAAGAGAGCACTGCGGAGCCCGTGCAAATACAGAACAGTTACTGTTCAGGGAGGCCCAAACAGAAACTTTAAGCAGAAAAACACTAGTAACAGCCTTCACAATGTGGCATTTACAAATAGCTCTGTCGTTTCAAGCTCTGTCAAAGACGGTAGATGGTAGAGGCCTGACACTGAGGATGAAACAGCGAATGTGTGAGGAGCCTGCATTTCCCCTGCCTTTAGTGACTGCTTCCTGAAACTAGCCATGGAACTTAAAGATTTGGGTTAGCATTTTCTATAAGCTTTGTGCGCCCCACACCATCAAAGCCTGCACAGAGCAATCACCATTTAAAAATGGCTAAGCCAATTTGTAAAACATACATGCACACAGATACATACACTTTCTTGGGGGTATGAACTAAAGTGTCTGCTCCCAATCCACAGCAACGGACAGCCACACGGCGCTGTAAAATAAATGTTGAAAGTTGCTAAAAGTTGAAAAAAGGCCTTATGAACATAAATGTTCTTGCATTCAAATGCATTAGGTCAGCGTGAAAGAGCGGGGAGCAAGAACAAGCACGTCCATTACAACAAAAAAATCATTAGTAGCAAAATCCTTTGGAAACTCTTTCTCCCATAGCCAAACATTAAGCTGGAGTGAACAGAACACTGCCACAGAAAGACAGCAAGGAGCTTGCTGCACAGCACGCAGGCAGCACATCTGGCACGAGGAGGACACCAACACTGTCCCCCGCCAGCCCTGACCCCCTGGCACACTGCTCCGGAGCAGGCGTTGCTGAGCAGGATGCCCCCTCTGCACACACTAGCTGTCACCAGGCCCTGCAGGCCCAGCGCCCTGCTCTGAGCTCACGCTCCCCACACTCCCACACAACCCTGCAGCCCCCGGGCTAAGCCCTGCACTGCCCAGGCACATGGCAAAGCCTTCCTCCACAAGCTTGGGGGAGACCATAGCTTCTCCCCAGCCCTCCCCCCACCACAAGTCTCCCCAGGAAAACCACAGCCCCCCCATGCTTCCCTGGGGACACCACACACTCCTCCTCCATCTCTGGGGACATCACACATACCCCAAACTGCCTGGGGACACCACAGCCACCCCCGTCCTCGGGGGACACCACAGCCACCTCTATCCCCGGGGGACACCAGAGCCCCTCATACTGCCCGGGGACACCACAGACTCCCCCCATCCCCAGGGACATCACACACACCCCAAACTGCCTGGGGACACCACAGCCACCCCCGTCCTCGGGGGACACCACAGCCACCCCTATGCCCGGGGGACACCACAGACTCCCCCCATCCCCAGGGACATCACACAC